ACCACACATATGGTAGAATCAAAGATCAAACAATTCCAACACAGTATAAGGTAGAATCAAAGATCAAATAATTCCAACACAGTATATGGTAGAATCAAAGATCAAACAATTCCAACACAGTATAAAGTAGAATCAAAGATCAAACAATTCCAACACAGTATAAAGTAGAATCAAAGATCAAACAATTCCAACACACTATATGGTAGAATCAAAGATCAAACAATTCCAACACAGTATAAAGTAGAATCAAAGATCAAACAATTCCAACACAGTATAAAGTAGAATCAAAGATCAAACAATTCCAACATGGTATACGATAGAATCAAAGATCAAACAATTCCAACACAGTATAAAGTAGAATAAAAAATCAAACAATTCCAACACAGTATAAAGTAGAATCAAAGATCAAACAATTCGAACACAGTATATAGTAGAATCAAAGATCAAACAATTCTAACACAGTATATGGTAGAATCAGAGGTCAAACAATTCCAACACAGTATATGGTAGAATCAAAGATCAAACAATTCCAACACAGTATATGGTAGAATCAGAGGTCAAACAATTCCAACACAGTATAAGATAGAATCAGAGGTTTTCATCTTTTGTTTTAAAGAAAGCCTAAAAAGAAGTTAAAGGCTGACGTAAGAAACGGTCTATGGCAGTGTTTCCAAACCGTCCAACTTTGCATATGTTACAATTGGGCCACAAGAAACATGCAAAGTAATAATGGCTGGAGACGGCTTGATTGGGTAATGAAGTAAAACTTTAATATAAGTTTAACATAACAGTAAATGTACAACGTTTTGACAAGGTTTTGTCGTCATCACCTGTTGTACATTTGCTCTTATGTTAAACTAATATTAACGTTTTTCTTCATTACCCATTTAAGCCATCTCCAGCCATTATTAGTCTCAAAGTGGGTTCCTCGACATCGAATTTGAATGCAAAGCGATGTCCTTAACTAAATATATTTTAACAAATGTGTAGTCTATTTTAGTAATAAACATATTCAGTGTATTTGAAAATAAAGCTACATGTGAACATATATGTATGTATCTATCTATATATATGTATGTATATTAGAAAGTAACATAGAACACATTTTCTTTAAGCTTTAATGTCCAAGCGGCAATTACAGGATTTTGTTTTAAAACTGTCTGTAGGACTAAAATTTATGTCAGTCAGATGAAATGTTGAAATAATTCTAATCAAACATGTATTCTTTTGCATATTTAACTCATTAAAACGCATGTCTGTTTGTCTGGATACACAACACATATACAAATGCATATATTTTACTAAAGATATAGATACCTTTTATGTTTTATTTAATAAGTTCTTCTTTTCCATTGTCTCTTGGTGGCTGTATGGTAAGTCTAAGAGAGCCTAACTAAAAACCAGGTTTCAATACTCACTATTGTCCTATTGTGTAGCTTAAACATAACAACAAGCAACCCATTACTGTTCATACACTGAAAGTGGAAACCAGTAGTTTTTACATACATTCCAGATTAAGCAAGAACGTTTCATGGCATATCGTGTACGGTGTTATATTAATTATTTCAGGCATTCATTGTGGCCAATCAGCATCCTGATTACAAAGAAGATGTTTATGTTCCATATGCTAATTGGCTGGCTGAAAATGATCGTTTTGTGGAAGCTCAAAAAGGTTCTGTATTTTTTTAAGAACGAAACCTAATAGAGATTACATGTCTATACACGATTTAAATTTTATACATCATATTAAGTTTACAGAAGCTGAAAGTTTTTTATTTAAGAGAAAATTAATTTTATTTTCAATGGATTTTTCTGTGACAATTTTGTTATGCTGCATTACTTTGAGTAAACAGTTTCTTGAACTAACTTGATGTTGGTTCACTGATTTTTAAATCCTCAAAAAAATCCATTTCAAAACTATTCATTCATCTGTTTAAACTTATTAATTATTTATGTGCTTTGGAAGAATAATTACAACTATTCTAAAAGTTTAGAAATGCTATAAATGGTAGCTTACTGATGAATTAGTTATTTTTAGAAATGCTATAAATGGTAGCTTACTGATGAATTAGTTATTTTTAGAAATGCTATAAATGGTAGCTTACTGATGAATTAGTTATTTTTAGAAATGCTATAAATGGTAGCTTACTGATGAATTAGTTATTTTTAGAAATGCTATAAATGGTAGCTTATTGATGAATTAGTTATTTTTCCACATTCAGAATTTTGGCTAATGCATGGGTATTTTCATACAACTGATGTTTCCTATTTTTTAACAAACACATTATCAGTTTTAATGTTTATGCTGTGTTGCTAGCCCTACTTAACCTAAGAGTATTTTTTTATAAAATATTGCTCAAAAAATAAATCAACAAAAATTAACTTGAAATCTTTGTGGCTGATTCATTATAATTGTCATTTTTCCTGCTTTCTGTTGTTAGATACCTTAACATTATGTTCAGAATCTTTTATAGCGATAGCTCATAACTCTGCGCAGCATTATATCCTAAATTTTCTATATATTTCTTGAAATCTGTTTTAAATACCTTTCTGTTTTTCATATTGCATCTTCAGCTTTCCATAAAGCTGGTCGAGAAGACGAAGCTTTAAGAGTGCTGGAACAGCTAACTCATAATGCTGTCAATGAAAAAAGGTTTAGTGATGCTGGCTATTATTATTGGTTGCTGTCAATGCAGTGTTTGGACATTGCCCGGGGTGGGTGCTTCCTATTTTTCATATATACTTTCTGTAAAATTTTTATCATAATTGCCATAAATATTTTTTTAAATCTGATTATATGAAAATAGAAAAATTAAAGTAGTTAAGTATTAGATTATAATCATTTGTTATCTTTGTCTGTTTTTTTTTTCAAACAAAATTTCAAGGTTTGTATGCACCCGAAGATTCGTTGAAGGTCATGGACATTTAGCATTTTGTTTAAAACTAAGATTCAGGTAAAAAATATCAATCTTTATGTATGATAATGTAATATCTTCATTTGGATAAACTCATTGTATCATAAGTACAACCTGACATAAATCGAATGATGACATGTTAATGAATGTTAGTCTTTTAATTTTTTTTTTTACAAAATCTAATGATGGCTGGCTCTCGTTTATTCACTAACTTGTGGCTTAGGATGAAAGAATACTTTAATTGGCTTTGTAAGGATGTTAATGTGCATTGTGTAAAATGTTTAATCTCTGTAAAATCAGTTAATTCAACAAACGGGGGAAAGCAGCAGTGAAAAAAACACGTGACTGATAAAAGTATTCAGTATTTGCCAAAACAACAGCAGATAATCTGACTTCGGTATTGTACATTGTTAGTGTTTTTGTGTTCCTAGAATTAGTAATGCTTCATCCACTCAACTCCAATGAAAGGCTAGTGCATTAGTATTAGGCCTGTTACATTTCTAAATGCTACTTTCTTTATTCTTTTTCTCAATCCAGAGCTCCTCAGGCTGGCTGGAACACAACAAACACAGTAGTGGTTGGAACACTATTTATATAAACCATTTGTTACAACAGCAGTTGTTATGATGTGAATGTCTTTGACAAGCTAGGGAAGCATGATTATAAGTATATTTTTCATAAGACATTAATATTAGGCCTGTTATATTTTTGAACACTTCATCTAGTCCCTCAAGGTTTTTCAAGAATTAGAAAAGTACATGATAATAGCATTCCATCCACACTATATTCACCATCTCCATGCATTTAACACAAAATATTTTCTGTGCTTTAATATGTGGGGACATTATAAGAGTGACAGTCTGTTCCTTAGCATGTATGGTGAGAGGTAGAGAACTGCCTTCTGAACTGACTGGAGATAGCCTTAATAGCTTTGCCATAAATACATATTTACTTTCTGTTCTTTATTTCAGATGGTAATAACCAGAATGAAAAAATGATAAACAAATTTTGGGACCTTCAGCGCAAAGCAGAAATCTATTATGCTTACCACAACGTTCATCGATACATTGTAAGTTATCTTTTATTACCATAATGTTCATCGATACATTGTAAGTTATCATTTATTACCATAATGTTCATCACTACATTATAAGTTATCTTTTATTACCATAATGTTCATCACTACATTGTAAGTTATCATTTATTACCATAATGTTCATCGATACATTGCAAGTTATCATTTATTACCATAATGTTCATCAATACATTGTAAGTTACCTTTTATTACCATAATGTTCATCGATACATTGCAAGTTATCATTTACTACCATAATGTTCATTGATACATTGTAAGTTACCTTTTATTACCATAATGTTCATCTACCAAGTTCTCAAGATGATCGAGAACATTATGCATCGATGAACATTATGGTAATAAAAGGTAACTTACAATGTATTGGGACTCGCAGGCTTTGTTAGTGTTTTGAATCTTCATAATGCAAGTTAGAGTGTTTGCATGTCGTTTTTAATACTTTGTATAGTTTAGTTTAAGGTTTAATGAATAACTTTTCATAGAAAAAAAGATTCTTTTAAAAGCCAAGAACTGCTCTCCCCCCAAGTTTAGTTTTTTATAATTATTAAAAGTTTAGCTACTGTTATCTCTAGTAGAAGGACTTAGAAGTACATATGTTTCATTTAATTAAAGACCTTTAACTCTTGTGGTATCTGTCATGTGTCTGAATAAATCTGTAAAGCAAAATATAATTTAATGGAAACAAATATACCCTGGAAGTATAGTTTTATATGATTTTGAGATCATTTTATTTTATAGACAAGAAGTCAAACAATTTAAGTTTACATTCAGAAACAGATTAGTATGGTTATAACATTCCTTAGAAGTAAGAAATAATTATGTCATAAGGTTCTTTTAAATTAGGTAATCACAGAAGTAAACTTATTGCTTGTTATTATAATTATTATGTTATTAGTGTTGGGAACTGTGATATTATACATTAGTTTATTATAATTTTACAGGAAGAACCTTTTACTTCGTTTCTGCCCGAAGCTTTATTTAACATGGCCCGTTACCTGATTCACCAAATGTTCAGTGATACTTTGGTTGGGGTTTCAAAAGTGTATCCTTTCTATATACATGATTACACTTAATTTTGTATGTCGTAGTAAAAATGTATTTTACAGATGTCATCTTTGACTGTTATTAGACATAATTACACTTAATTTTGTATGTCGTAGTAAAAATGTATTTTACAGATGTCATCTATGACTGTTATTAGACATAATTACACTTAATTTTGTATGTCGTAGTAAAAATGTATTTTACAGATGTCATCTTTGACTGTTATTAGACATAATTACACTTAATTTTGTATGTCCTAGTAAAAATGTATTTTACATATGTCATTATGACAGTGTTATTAGAAAGACACAAACATATTACCATACAAAAAACATTAAAATCTCTGATCGTAACATGCTTAATTTAAACAAACTTTAGGTTTTGGTTCAGAAATATAATTGTGTGATTTTAACTATATGTGTCAACTTTAACATGTTCCCGTTCTTTTTTTCAGATCATGGTACTGCAAAATTACACATTTTTCTTAAATCTTTGTTTATTTGACTGAGAGTAATGAATTTCAAAACCTCTGTAATTGTTTTAACTCTCTTGTGTGTGCTGTTTATTAATTTTCTCTCCTAAGGAACAATGCAATCTGTGTGATACCTGATAAACAATGTTGTTTTTATAACCTTTACGTACTCTCAGAGCTATTTTGTATGCCCTAGCCAAGCAGAGCCGTAATCTAGGGGCTTACAAGTTAGCTCGGCATGCTTACGACAGACTGCAAAACTTGCGAGTGTCGCAACGGTTTCAAGAATCGATAGACTTGGGAGCCGTGACTATAAGATCAAAGCCGTTCAGCGATGTTGAAGTTAGAAGTTTCAAAATTTTTAACTGTTTTCTGTGCACTGTACATTCTATTTATTTGAATGGTAGTATACAACCCTAAGTAAAAATTTGAAAAAATATTTTGTAAGTGTAAATAGTTTTTAACATTATATAATCAGTTACAATAGACTGCTGTAATGTTTTTCAGAGCAATTAATGAACATAAATCTAGTAGGTATTCAGTCTTATTAATTTCTGATTGATGTTTTGTAATAACGAGACTTATTTTATTGCAGGAACTATTACCACTTTGTTACCGCTGCTCGACAACAAACCCATTGCTAAACAATCAGGGAAACTGTTGTATTAACTGTAGACAACCTTTTGTTCACTCTTTTGTCTCGTTTGGTAAGTTAAGGCTTGACTAGTTACACGTAGGTAACTTGTATATTATTCAACTATGATGATGTTAAACATCTGATAACCAAGAAATAGCATCAGTATATATAATACACTGAATATAAGGTATGAAACTAAACAACATCTGATGATTAGGGAGCATTCTTAGGTGGCATGGCTGATGGGTAGGAGTGAGTTTATAAGACACTTGGTGTCTGTGTTTGATTAGTTAGATCATACAGTTTCTCATGAGGAGATATTCTCTAGTTAATGGGAAATACAGAGTCTTGGATCTGATGTGACAAGAAACAGTTGAGGTGAATATGATCAGTAGGAGACAGATATAAATGTCAAATGTGTAATGAATAGAATACACTTTGAGATGGTGAATCAGGATTATCTGGTAAATAAGAAACAGAGCTTATAAATAAGTGTCATTGATGGCAATGAGTGTTGATGAATAGAAGACATGAAGATGGCAGAGTGGCTGCTAAATAGCAGGCAGATGGAGATGATTTAGTGTTTGGTAAGTACGAAATGGAAATAGAGGGAGTTTAGTGAATTAAAAACAGATGTGAATGTGTCTTATAATTAGTAGCATTTTTGCTGAATAAGAGTTCAATTAGGAGTAGGTGAAAATCTTAAGACCTAAATTTGGCAAACAGCCTTACCTCTCATTGATAAATCATCAGTTCCCAGAGCTGAATTACAGATTTCCATATCTTCCTTTCTACATGTATTGCTGCATCCAGACAGGTAGAGGACAGTTACAAGCTGCATGAGGATCTCACTCTGGCTTGGAATACAAAAACACTCGGCAACAGAAACTTAAAACCAATGGAAACTAACTACAAACTGAGAGGAAAAGGAGGTACATAAAGAAGTTTCAAACAGGTGTCTGAGTGATTACTATTTGAGGAACAGTAGTTGGCTAACAGTTTGACTTTATAATTAGACACATTGCTCATATGTTTGGTGCCCATATTAAGCAGTGCTAGTAGATGTCAAGATGACATAGGTTCACGCAGACGGAGGTGGCTGATAAGTAGGAGATGGATTTAAAGAGCATGGTGGGCAATAAATTAGAAATTGGCATTAATGTGTTCTAGGGCCTGGTGTTTAGGTTACTCGTCTAACAATCAGTAGGTTGTGGGTTTGAATCCTTTCATCAAACTGGCATTAATGTGTTCTAGGGCCTGGTGTTTAGGTTACTCATCTAACAATCAGTAGGTTGTGGGTTTGAATCCTTTCATCAAACTGGCATTAATATGTTCTAGGGCCTGGTGTTTAGGACGTTCGACTAACAATCAGTGGGTTGTGGGTTTGAATCCTTTCATCAAACTGGCATTAATGTGTTCTAGGGCCTGCTGTTTAGGTTACTCGATTAACAATCATTTCATTGTTACTCACTACTCGTCACCAGTTAAACCGTAAACAACTGTATCAGGTTTATATTTAGTTGTGGATAGCTTCATAATAAATGAAATACACCTAAAAGTATAGTATAAAACAAAAGTGGAGTCAGTTTACAATTTTTTACAGAAATCCTGCCACTAGTAGAGTTTGTTTTAGAAGATGGTATTACAGATGAAGAGGCTTTACGCTTGCTAGAATCAGATAGCTCAATTTTGACTGAACAACCTTCATGGCTTGAAGAAAGTGGTGGAAGTATCTTTTTGTTGTGGTATTTATCAAGAGTTACATTTTAATAAATGATGTATTACCTGTTTTCAGATGAAAATAGCTTTGGATAGATTCTGTTTTTTTTTTTATCAGCAATATATATGATCTTTATTATTTTAAAATCTTACGAATATCTAATGAATGTGACAAAAGGGATTTGATCAAATCATCGTTTTAGACTAAATATTAGTTATCTTGTAATATAATGTTGATAGAGAACTGCTAACATTTCATGTAAGACTAGTTCTTGTGCTCTAATCAAGCTAGTAACATTGTCGTTGAGTGAAATGCCTTGTCAGCTGCAGACTGTACAGAAAAAGACCTATATGTTATTTGTACTCTGTTTGCCGGTTACTGAATTTCAGTTATTACACAAAGAAATACTAATTTACTAGTTCTCTTTATGATCCTTCATCTCACTCAGGAGGTCAAGAAATTTTATTTTTCAGCAGCTATAGAAATATGAACCTAGAGCTTTTTCTTTGAGTTGTACAAATTTAACTTTAGTAATAGTTTAGTACACGTACTGATCAAAAACCTAGGGTTCGTATTCGTAATGTTTATTTAAACTATAAAATTAATCTCACAGCAGTTTGTTAAAAACTTTGTCTTGCCATGGGGTAGGTTGGTAAAGATGAATCGAGTAAATTGTCTTTTATTTTCCGAGTGTTTTGTTATTATATTCTCTTATCGTAGCAAGTCGTGTTTGAATTAGTGTACTATCAGATAAGTTGTAGATATTTCATGTGGCAATTTAATAATATCCCAACTGGTATTTGATTTATAAGCTCTGAATATCATGTCACTAAAATGAAATTATTCTGGTACGTTCTTAACGGTTCAAAACTTCAGAGTATCAGTCTTTGCGTATTGATAGTAACATAGAAAACGATCTGGACGCCGATCCTTTTACTGCACAGCTGATGAGTTTTGAGGTAAGAATGATAAAAAAAAACTAATTTACAGTAGAGTTACATAAAAAAGTGTGCATGGTATTACCAATCACCTTCTTCTCAGCCAAATAAGTTTTGTTTTGTATGTTCTGTTAAGCTCTATGTTGCATTGTCAGCTTTATGTTTTTTTTTCTGTTTTTGAGATTCGTTTTTGACTTCCTAGCTGTATAATTTCCTTAACGATTTTTACTTTTTAAGTTCATTATTGCATAAGAAATGTACTTGTTTTTTCTATTTTTATCGTAGGAGGGAGGTCTGGAATTTAGCCCAGTTGTAGCCAGTCGATCGGTGTTACAAAGCATGAAACATTCAGATGTTATCATTAGCAAATGGCAATCGCCACTTCATTACCGGTATTTCCGGAACTTAATGCCAGATGTTCAGATTACAAAGTGCAACTCTTGCAATCAGGTAGGGTTGTAAACCCTTTCCAGATAAGAAGTTTGTCTCCTTGAGAAATAATTGATATAAGTTTGTATGAAAAATCAAATAGTTGAGTGTCTATCATTCATCAAGCATTTGAAACCACAAAATGTTTAATTTTTATTATTACCTTTCACAAAGCAGGGTATATTTATATATACAATTAACATCTAACAAGGTTATTTAGGATTTATAATAAAACAGACATTATCTAACACTGTTCTTTATACAGTTTTTGCTTCCTTAATGGGCATCCTCAGCTAGTTTAAATAAATCAACCTAGAAAAAGAAATTATACTTCAACAAGCAACTCTATTGATATGTGGATTTTTACATTGTTTAAGTTTATTACTTGACAGGTTACTTGTTGCAAAACTGTATACCTTGACTATCGTTCAATGCTACTTAACCTTAAAACCGTATACCATGACTATCGTTCAAATTGAACGATAGTCAAGGTATACAGTTTTAATGTTAAGTAATAGTGAACGATAGTCAAGGTATACAGTTTTAAGGTTAAGTAATATTGAACGATAGTCAAGGTATACAGTTTTAAGGTTAAGTAACATTGAACGATAGTCAAGGTATACAGTTTTAAGGTTAAGTAACAGGTTACTTAACCTTAAAACTGTATACCTTGACTATCGTTCAACGTTACTTAACCTTAAAACTGTATACCTTGACTATCGTTCAACGTTACTTAACCTTAAAACTGTATACCTTGACTATCGTTCAACGTTACTTAACCTTGCTATCATCAGCTAATAACCCTCCTTCTTCTCTAATGTAAATCTGAACTTTTAAGACATTTTATAATACTCTTTATAGTTTAGTTCAGAGATGGGCAAAGGGCAACTGGCAGGCTGGATCCAGCCCGTGATGGTATTTCATCTTGCCCCTTTTGTTTTTTTTAATCATTTTATTTTGGTAAAACAGAAACAAAAAACAAAACCATGACCAAACAAACCAGTCCCATGATGGTTATGAGAACCTTCTTCAAATGTTAACTCGGCTATTTATTGAAAACCATATAATTAACTGAGCATCTATAGTTGACAGTAGGAATTTAAATTAAGCAAATATTTTGAAAGTACTTTACCAATCGATTAGTTTCAGCCCCCCAGACTACCATTTATGTAAGAAACTGTAAGCAAATATTTTGAAAGTACTTTACCAATCTATTAGTTTCAGCCCCCCAGACTACCATCTATGTAAGAAACTGTAAGCAAATATTTTGAAAGTACTTTACCAATCGATTAGTTTCAGCCCCCAGACTACCATCTATGTAAGAAACTGTAAGCAAATATTTTGAAAGTACTTTACCAATCGAATTAGTTTCAGCCCCCCAGACTACCATCTATGTAAGAAACTGTAAGCAAATATTTTGAAGTAAGTAAGGTATTTTTAACCTTTCAAACAGTTTTTTTGTTATTACCTTTAGCTTTTCCACAGTGACGACTATGAGCTACAAGTCCTGCAGAAAGGTTACTGTCCATTTTGTCGCTACAACCCTGAAGAAAGCCAAGTTACAGATAACTAGTGAAACACAACTCTGGTGTTTCCCTAGTATGTTTCCGTCCAACACTTAATCTAACATTGTTACAATATGATGCCCGCACACAGCTCAACCTTACTGCCTCGTACAGGGTGGATGTAAAAAAAAAATGATGTATTAATTTTAATGTTATTATTTAACTGTATCCCTTTTGTCTGAAAATTTTAAAACATTCAATTTGAGGTAATGAGTACAGTGATTAAATATTGTAAAAGTCTCACTTTATCAACCCAGTTCTATTACATTATCTTAATTCTGCCTTTTGTTTATGGTATTATAATTTTTTAATTCTCATCCATTAATAATGAAACTGTACAATTTATTTTTATTAATTGTAAAAAAGAAATAGGGAATTTATGAAGATGTTAATGAAATACTTGTAAATATCTGAATATCCCTATGTTCTGCCACTTTCACAATGTGCATGTTTGGTCTGTTTCTCTCTTTTTTTTAATATAATCTGTAAGACTGTGGCAAATTTAGGTAATCTCAAGTCAATATTAGCAATTTTTAATGTCTTTTTTTTTTTTGGAACTTCCTGAAATATTTAATAAGTGTATATATTGAATACACTTGAATTAATATGTAATATCTTATGTCATGTATAGAATGATGATCGTTTTTAGATTTAGTATGATTCTCCTGGATTTCTTAACAGTTATAATTGTGGTTTTTGAACAGATCACATGTAAAGGTTCCATGTTGTTTTATTAATTTATAGACACAGATTTTCTTAATTCAACAGCCATGAAAAGCTCAGTGCTAATTATCAACAATTACCTAGTAATTAAGGTAGCAAGTTTAATAAACCAGTCTATCTAGGAATATGTATTGTTATGAAACATTAAACAGTTGGTTACCCTTGCTGTTATCATTATTTTTGGCCATAATCCCAACACTATTTCATTAGGGTCAGCCAGCTTATAAGGTTTAGGTTAGTTAACAACGCAAAATATTCAGCATAATAAAAAACATATATATGTATATGTAGTAGATAAGCAAAAATAAAATTGTGAGTATTTGTTAAATGTTTTCATTGATACTGTTAATGTAACATTAAAGAAAGAATGGAATACACACAAAAACTAGTCCTTTACTTCGTGCACTATCATTAAGTCCCTGTTCGTTGAAAAGCATTACACAGTTACATGCAGGACATTGTATAATTTTCTCTTGTGACATCATTAAGTGGCCAGACAGTGTAATTTGAAATAAGTGGCTACAATACCTTATTGTTTACTAACAACATCGTCAAGTGGCTAGACATTGTAACATTGTTCAATAAAAAGTATAATACTGTAATTAAAATAATCGAGGTAAGTGCAATAATTTACCAAACACACTGCAGGATGTGCGTGTACATACACAACTAGTCGGACTTTAACTTCACACATATCTTTTATACACATTTGGTCAGTTTACGGAGAAGGAAGCGGAAAGTAACAAATGAAGCTGAACTTATAAGTAATAATAATAAGACACGTGAAAGATCAGGATAATAATAAAACAAACAATGGGGATTATAACAGTTGACGGGAGCAAGTGTGATTTAACTAATGATTTAACATAAGGAAGTGAGAGGTTAAACTAATGATGGTCACCTTACTAAAGTTGTTTGATTTTATCTTAAAATATTTATTGAGAAACGAAGGCAAAAGCTGGAATGTTTTGAGAATATCGTGATATTCTATAATATTATTAATCCCATAAGAAGGGTGTTGAATTTATCAAAAATTCAATAAATCTGGTGTTCAAAATACAATAGTAGAAACATGTTTTTCTTTAGTTCCATTGTACCTAATGAAGTGTGAGTAATAAACATTGTAATATAATTTATTTGAATATTTATATTGGAATGTGATAAATTTATAACTAAAATAAAGTTTTTTTTTAAAGTTTTGAGTTTAAATGTTTCTTTAATGAGACTTGTATCTAAATCCTAGTAATATGCTCTGTTCATAGTGAAGAAGGTTTTTTTTTTTTTCCAGAGTTAATTCTAGTAAATATTTTATATCTTTGGCACTGTCAACAAAAATTTGTAATTCAACCATGGATGTTGAATTTGGACTTCACCAGTGTAGAAGATCAAACTTTCTGCTATATATGGTATAGACAAAACTAACCATGATGTTGAATTTGGACTTCACCAGTTTAGAAGATCAAACTTGCTGCTATATATGGTATAGACAAAACTAACCATGATGTTGAATTTGGACTTCACCAGTGTAGAAGATCAAACTTGCTGCTATATATGGTATAGACAGAACTAACCATGGATGTTGAGTTTGGACTTCACCAGTTTAGAAGATCAAACTTGCTGCTATATATGGTATAGACAGAACTAACCATGGATGTTGAATTTGGACTTCACCAGTGTAGAAGATCAAACTTGCTTGCTATATATGGTATAGACAGAACTAACCATGGATGTTGAATTTGGACTTCACCAGTGTAGAAGATCAAACTTGCTGCTATATATGGTATAGACAGAACTAACCATGGATGTTGAATTTGGACTTCACCAGTGTAGAAGACTTGCTGCTATATATGGTATAGACAGAACTAACCATGGATGTTGAATTTGGACTTCACCAGTGTAGAA